GTCTCGTGGAATCTCGCAATTAGTGTTTCGGCCTGGCAAAGACGTCAATATAACGGCTTGTAAACAATGTCACGTAACGTCACATTTACCTCAGAAAAACATATTTGGTGACCATAAGCTCATTAGTCAGCTAGAAAAATAAACTGTAGAGAGGGGCATTTTGCTAAATATATGCACCATATAACATATTCATTATAAATTTTACTGTTCTTCAATAAATACATCATTTTATGACAGCCACCATTATGTTTATATTTAAAAAACAACAACAAATTGAAGTAGAAATATGATGTAATTGTAACTTTATTATTTTAAAAACTTCATTAAGTGAAATTTTAACATCAGTTAATTTTAACCTTCAATACTATAGTAATGTAGTACCAACTGACTCTCATGTATATTTTACAGCATTAGTTGAGAGATTTTTTTCCCTTGAGAAAATTTGGCATGTACTGTACCTGATATATATCCAAAATAATCTATATTGAATTGAATCGAATCGAATTGGTAATCGAATCGAATCGCAAGCTTGTGAATGAGAATCGAATCAAATCGTGAAATTTGTGTCAAGACCCAGCCCTAGTATATAAGGTGTGTGGTGTCCTGGCCATTCAGCGGGTAGTTCAAGGTTGTGTAACCATGGAGTAATCTAGAATGAGTCACTTTTAAAGCTCTTCATAATTTAGTTCCTTTCTCTTTCAGACCTTCTTCAAACATACATTCCATTGCACTTTTAAGGTCATCCTTAGTAGATTTACTGACTTTTCCAAAATGTAAATTAAGTACTACGGGTGCTGGGGCTTTTAGTTGTTCAGTGCCAAAACCTTGGAATTCATTTCCATTACATATATGCCAGTTGGATTCTATTTTCCAGTTCAAAACTCAATGGGTGCTAGAGCCGTACCCTATGCCCATGAGCAAGGCACTGAACTCCCAATTGCTCCCCAGGTACCAAATGTCTGCCCACTGCTCCGGGTGTGTGTTTGTGTTCACTACTCACTGCTTTGTATGTGCACTTGGATGGGATAAATGCAGAGAACAAATTCTGAGTATGGGTTATCATAATACACGTCACTTTTTTTTTTTTAAATGAAAGGGAAAACTCATTTGACCTATTTATGGAAATGTTTATGCAAATGTATGTTTTGGTTTTTATCCATCCTATTTATTGCATTTAAATTTTTTTTTAACTCCTGTTCTTAATCATCATTTTATGCAATTACTGATGTAACTCTGGCCTCAAATGTTTTATGAGGAGGGTTTTGCTACAGCTGTAGTCTCATTTTTATTGATAACTTTTTTTTTTACTCTTTTTATTTACACATTTGCACACCTGCTTTTAAATAAACATTATATTGGATACCAACTTTGTTTCTGTTTACATCTCCGTTGTGATTTTCCATGTGACAACACAGGTGTATTTCAAAGCCTGATTATTTTACCAAATGAGTTAAGCACAAACTGCAACTCAATGACTCTTATTTGCTAACAAAAGTTCAGACTTCATGGATTCAGTTTAGAGTTCAGAAATATCATGGATAGGTCCGACCATGAACATTAATGCCATCTATCAGGATGTGCTAACAACTACTAAGGCTAAGCTTAGGGTTTAATTTAGGATTAGAGGTTAGTTCCAGTGTTGTGTAGACAACCAGCACTGTGATTGACATAACCAATGAAATCTTTAGAACTGGCTGTGGGGAGGGTTTTGCACTTAGCTGGCTAGGGGAAAAAAAATCTCACCACTCATAAGGACTGAAACAAATGTTTAAATAAAAAGTTGCATTTTAAATCATCCTTATCTGTCAGTTTGACTGAATAAGCTGTATTTTTTCCTTTTATGCTCTATTTCTATCTGTCAGGAAAATGACAAAAGTCTTGAAATTTTAATGTGTTGATATCACAAGAAAATGTCTGATTTAGTGAACATATATCATAAATAATTCACTGGAATGCACTAAGAATCTCTTGTTTATAAGTATATTATGATCATATACAGGTCATTACCTTCAGGAGGAAGAGTGTAGCGAGCATACTCTGGGAAATAATCTTCAAGTTTGGATTTTCCTGCCAGGATCTTTTCTGCCAGCATGTCCTGTTTGTTCAGAAATAAGATCACTGAGATGGTCCTTAAAAACCTGTTTGAAAACACAAAGTGAGACATGTCTTTTTATTTCTATATCTGCTGATATTTTTATTTAGAGATGTTCAGCTGCAGCTTTGAGCCATTCTTGAGATGGCACTTTAATATTTAAAGGTGCCACCTGTCTCTTCTATTTGACTTAAAAATAAAATGTATGTAATATTTAGGCATGGGTGCAATGACTAAAAATATCACATATATGAAATTGTGTATCATGATAAGTGTATATGACCATATAGGCATAGGCGGAGTTTGGACCAGATCCAATCGATTTTGCCAGAGCTATAAATAAAACAAATATTTTCACATTTTCTCATTTTATTTGTATTATCTTATTATTTTAATGAGTAAGATAAGGCTAAATTATGTAAGGGATAATGCACGGCTAGCTGTGCATTAAATGATTTTAATGCACCATGTGGAGGCCAAGAACCACCCGACACGAAGCGGTTGCATCTGCAAAGTGCATTCAAATTGTTTAATGGACAGCTAGCCGTGCATTATCCCGCTTATACCATGGTCATTTGCCAGCATCGACAATTTAAAGGCTGTTTATGATGTTTGCAGTGCAATATTTAACTTTAAAATTATGGTTATTTTCGTCAGTTACTTCTCGTTAGATCAAACATTTTGCCCACTTCAAATCAGATACAGAGATGAAATAGTGCGGTAAGACCACATTTTTTTGAATGAATTATAGCATTTATTTAAATGAATTATCGATCGATCGAGAGAGAGATGACAGTTGTGTGTGTCTGTGCGTCTCTCTCTACAAACAATGAAGCGGTTTAGTTACTTCAAAAACAGTGATTTTACCCCCTCCTGGCTGAGAAATATAATGTAGCGTTCTAGTATCTAGGGTATTTTATTAATGAAAGTAGCAGGGCAGAGCTGACAATAAGTTTTTGTGTGTGCGCAGCGTGATCTGCGATCTCCGACCTCTCTCCCTTCTCACTGTGTTTATGTGCGAGTGGTGTGTGTGTGTGTGCATTAATATAGAACGGTGATTAAACTGACTTGGAACTACCTGTGCATTAAACGGTTTAAATGCATACCTGCCAGCCAATCAGAATCGAGTATTCAGACAGACCATGGTATCATTTAAAATTAATGTTTTTATACTCTCGCAACTCGCGAATCTCAAAGTATTGCGTGAGTGGACTCTCTTCCCGTTCTGTTCCCGCTTTAGTCTGCAGAGATATGCTAAATAAACAAAATGGATATTTGTCGTTTTTTTTAATAAACCCACAGCTAAAAGAGTGAAGGTCTCTAACTCTGACACTTCCCATATTTATTCTACTGCCGCTAATACTGACACAGCAAAAGAGGCGGATTCTTCTAGGTATAAGAAGATCTAAGTTTTTATTCCACTCTTTGTATAGCCTACCAGTCATTGTTAATTTTAAATGTATTTTAAATGAAGAAGAAATTATATAGGCTATAAATAATTGAAATGTAGAAAATATGGTATATGGGCCATTCTACAGAATTGGTCCAAAGTCTAGAGTTAAAATCGTCTTGAAAAAAATGTGTATTTTTCCCAAAAATTTGTATGTATGCAAATTGTATAATATCCAAGGTAGACATTTCTAGTAATTGCACAGTTAATTCTCATATTGTATTTTCAGAAAGTTTTGGAATATTTGTCCTCTCCCCAAATTTGTCACTACCGAAACACGGTAATAATAATTTAATTAGAAAGGTTATATTGACCTATTAAGATTTTGCTTGCATCTACATTGTAAATATATTTTTTGCTATTTTATAATTTTTTTTCAGAGGTAAATCAATAACATTTACATTTTTAACAATATTTCAAGTGTAATTTAGGAGATTTGTTGTATTTTGAATCCAATTTTTCTTTGTAAAAGGCAAAAAGTTGATCATACGGATTTCAAAGTAAAGGATTCATTAGTTTGAATATACATTGAACCAAAAACATAACATCTTAGTTAAAGGGGTCATATGATGCGATTTCATTTTTTCCTTTCTCTTTGGAGTGTTACAAGCTCTTGGTGCATAAAGAAGATCTGTAAAGTTGTAAAGACTAAAGTCTCAAATCCAAAGAGATATTCTTTATAAAAGTTAAGAGTTAGCCACACCTACCTAAAACGGCTCGTTCGAACACGCCCCCACATATCTACCACACTATGTGGGAAGATTTGCATATTTGCATAACTGTACAAAAAAAAAAAAGATTTCCCCCAAATATGAGGATTATGTGTTCCCTTTTGTCACTACCGAAACAATGATGATATGTTTCAGTCGTTGTTTCAGTTTCGGTAGTGACAATTTTATGGGATGACACCCAAAAAAAACAAAGATGTCACTACCGAAACTCCACCAAATGTTTCGGTAGTGACAGTTTCTGTCTGTCTATATATATATATAAATAAATAAATAAATATATAAATAAAGGTGCCCCCCCAGGCAAAAATGTGAAACTCCGCCTATGCATATAGGTATTTTTGCTATATTTTTTTCTATATGTGGTACTTACAAATTTATTTTGGAAATACGAGGACTGTCCATTTAACATGTTAATTTGGTGCAGTTTAATTATGGTAAAAATAACTTGTTAAAATTCTTTAAGCATTTAACGTACCCGGCCTAGACCTGTACACCAACTTATATTGCATGCAGTTGCTTAGTGATGAACACAATGCATGACGATGACTGCGTGATGCAGCCTATTAGAACGCAGTTACATGCCCCTTGAGTTCAAGATATGAGGGCAAATAATGCCTCTGTATGGGTTTTTTGTCCTACGCATACATCTTATGTATAATATCTGCATGATTGCAAATGTGCTATTCATTTTACACAACAGTTCAATAAACAAGAAGTTAATATGGGGTTAAAACCGAAAAACAGGTATCACCACTTGTTGGAGAAAGTGTTTACAGCGGTATAAACTGATGGTGATATCTATGGACTTTTAAAGTAACCTAGCTAGTTGTTTTTATTGTTAGTGTTTTATTCAATTTTAATATTAGAGTGTTAATGAAAAGAAGAAAAATAAGATATCAAGATATCTATCTGCATATGTACAACGGCGTTTTAGTGCCACGTTAAAAAAAAAAAAACCTCTACGATTACGAGATTAAAGTCGTAATATTTTGATAATAAAGTCAAAATTACAAGAATAAAATCGTAGCAATACGAGAATAAAGTTGAAATATTTTGACAATAAATGTAGTATAATTTAATGAAAGAATGTCTCATTAACGAAAAGATGATTGATTCACATGCCGCTTAAACTGCGATCGGTCACGCCACATTAAAGAGCGTGAAAAACACATTATTGTAAGACATATTGTTTGTATTTCGCTATTTAATGGACAGTTTAAATTTGAAACAATTTGAAAGCTGAGAATTTGTTTTATATTAAAAGTTCCAAAAGCACAAAGCTTATTGCTATTATTGGGTGGCTGGCGTAATACAAATGAATGCATTTGAAGACGTGAAATATTATTTCCAAGCTGTCCCTGTGACACATGGTATGATTTCAGATAATAATCCCACATATAATCAAATCAGTTGCCAGACCACCGGAATTTCTCCCGGTGCTCCCGATCTTGGCAATTTGCATGCGTAATATAGACTATAGGTCTCAAAATATTATAACTTTAATCTCGTAATTGCTATGACTCAATTCTCGTACTCTCAAATTATTTCGACTTTATTCTCGTAATTTCGACTTTATTCTTAAAATATTTTCACTATTCTCGTAATTTTGACTTTATTCTCAGAATATTTCAACTTTATTCTCAAAATATTTCGACTTTATTCATGTAATTTTGACTTTTTCTCAAAATATTATGAGTTTAATCTCGTAATCTTAAATTTTTTATTTCTATTTTTTAACGTGGCTCTAAAACACTGTCGTACATATGGGATGGACATCAGTTATAATTATCTTTGGTATGCCCTTTGAAGGCTTCTTGAGTAAAACAGATCCTTATTTAATGAAGCATATACAGAAGACCTGAACCGGAAGAGACACAACCTGTTTTACAGAATGAGGAATTTTGTTGTGCATAACCCCCGTTGTGTTACATTTTAGACATAATAACAGTATTGTCTCTTTTTGCTCAATTTTGCCAACAAAAATAGTTCAAAACAAATCCACAGTAGAACTGCATATCTGAGCAACAAACAGCGGTGTTTCAAGAATGAATCCATGATTTTGAATGAACTGAGTGAGCCAATGATTCAGTGACCCACTCATTAAGACAATCAGCTGAACAAATGACTGAATGATTTACTTAAGACTATTATATTATTAAGACTTGCTGACACCTACTGGTGTTTTTAGCTTCATATTTATAATATCATTTTATCATTATTTAAAAAAAAAAAAAAAATTCACAATTTTTATATTCAATTTTTGAAACCCATTAATTTATAGCATTATATTCATAGCATTATGTATGCAATTCGGATTAAAGTCTGAATGCATTCATGTTAATGCTGAACAGTTTGTGTACATAAACCTAAATGCTACTTCAGATGCAGCTTCTGAAAACAATGTTATGGCCACATTGTAGCCTTTAAAGTTTATGTGTAATAAATTATATGTTCAATAAAAACATTTTTTTTTTTCTAAAGCTACATTTTTTTAATGTCTATACACTGCTTTTCTCATTTAACACAATAATTATCTTCTGGGGGTAATTTCTCAGCCCAAATTATTGTGTGATTAATTTGCGATGAATTAAGATTAATCGTAATCGTAATTAATTCGATTAAAAATTTTACTCCCTCGACAGCCCTAATATACATATGCAAAAAAGTGCTCTAAAATCATAGTAATAGTAAGTAATTTTGCCATAAAAATCATTGAAAACATCCAACACATTGCCCAGCCCTATCACCAAACTCTAATAACAATAATTGTCCGTTATACTGTTACAAACGCATAGAAGTATTTTAGGGTAACTTTTGTAGCACTTGGGATGGGAACTGAGAAATCCCAAGAAACAGCATAACTGTGTAACCTGTTAGTCCAGATGCTGCGGAACAGATCAAGAGACTCGCGCAGCCGGTTAGTGCTGTTGTCTTCCCTTATGACCATGTTATAACTGCTACTGGCTGCCACAAAGATGATGGCGGTCACATCTGTGATTATAAACAGGAAGAGATATATTATCACCAAACACACACTTTTATAGTGTAGGTGATAGTTCACCCAAAAAATTAAATTGTCATCATTTGCTTACCCTCATGTCATTCCAAACATTTATTTATTTTATTTACATTTGAAGAATGAATGACATACATACACACAAGGTAAGCACGGAAACACACTAGAACAAACCTCACTGGTTTTTGTGCTTCACACATGCAAAACATGTGCACTCAAGGCAAAACAACGGTGGGGACACTGGGCAAGTAATGTAATTGGTGTATGGCCGAACACTGTGTAATATCGATAACACTGACTACCACAGCAAGACTAGCACGCACAAGTTTCTGCATTTACCATATGTAATCTGTTCATAATATAAAGAAACTTAAATTCTTCACAAGACTAAAGATTAAACTGCTCGATTCATATGGATTTGTGTTATGAAGGTTTAAGTTGTGTGTGTTTTTGTGTGTGTGTGTGTGTGTTTTGAGGGTGAGTAAATGATGACACAATGTTAATTTTGGGTGAACTAACCCTTTAACTTAAATACCATTAGTTACTTTCAGATATATCAACAACAAAACAGTTTTTGTGAATTTGTTTACTGAAAAAAAAAAATGCAAATCTGCAAGCTCACCATTAAAGCACTGAATCCATTTCCTTCTTTCATCTCTCTGACCACCCACATCAAACATACTGACACACAGGGAGAAAGAAATAAGAAATGTTTCTGTATAACAACTTAACAAATAAGTATTTATATAAATGTAGTAATTGAATCCAGATATGAATCATTAGATCAATTATAGATATATAGTGGGGACTAAATGTCTGAGAATACTAGTGTAAATGCTTTTATCCTTTTTTTTTTCTTGCCACTGTCACCTTTGTCTTGCTTAGTTGGGGACACCTAATTTTTGGCAATACTGTCGACTTGATTCCACAGACACTATCTGAAGAGAACTGAATTGAGCTGGACGATGACATCACCGAATCAATGATGAACTGACTTTAACGGAAAAATTTACTGTTTACTATTGTCTTCTTTTTAGAGCTGCTCTACAGCAGAACTGAATTTTGTTCACTCACCCCACCTACTATCCCTGCAGGTACCGAAACTCGAACCCACGACCTTTGGGTTACAAGTCCGACTCTAACCATTGCCCCACCATGAATCGTCATTAACAAAATATTCATTATAAAATATAAAATATTATTTAACTGAAAATCTTTACTTGTATATACACTGTAATTTGTTAAGAATTAAATGACAAAATCATCAACCCATTAAGGCCTGGATTCAAAAACACACAGAAAATCAAAGTTCAAAAATAAATAAATAACAAAAAAACAAAAAAATTACAGGATGATCTAACTTGCATGAATTTCATCACAGCAACTCATAATGTAAATCAGTAGATTGTATGGCCCCCACATGCTACTTGCCGGCTTCGGATGCTCCAATAATGTCCCAGAGGTTCTCAATTGGATTCAGGTTTGAGGGAATGTGAGGGCCAGTCAATGGCATCAATACCTTCGTTATCCACTGCCTACAAACTCCGGCCACATGAGGGCAGGCACTGTCATGCACCAGGAGAAACCCAGAGCCCACTGCACCATCGTAAGGTCTGATAATGTCTTTGAGGACTTCATCCTGTTACCTAACAGCAGTAATGGTACTTTTGGCTAGCACAAGGAGGTCTGTGTGACCCTACAAGGGTATTTTTCCCCAGATCATCAGTGACCTACCGCCAAACCGGTCACGCTGGATGATGTTGCAGGCAGCATTACATTCTCCACGGCATCTCTAGAATCTTTCACTTCTGTCACATGTGCTCAATGTGAACCTGCTCTCATCCATGAAGAGAACTGGGCACCAGAGGTGGGCTTGCCAATTCTGACATTCTCTGGTAAATGCCAATCCAGTGGCATGGTGCTGGGCTGTGAGCACAGGTCCCACTAGAGGATGTCGGGCTCTCATGCCACCCTTATTGAGTCTGTTTCTGATAGTTTCTTCAGAAACATGCACACCAGTAGCCTGCTGGAGGTCATTTTGTAGGGCTCTGCATTGCTCCTCCTGTTCCTCAAGATACTGGTCCTGTTTGCTGGGTTGTTACCCTTCAAAGGCTTTGCCCAACTCCCCTTGTGTAACGGCCCATCTCCTGGTATCTCCTCCATGCTCTTGAAACTGTGCTTTGAGACACACCAAACCTCCTTGCGACGGCACATTTGGATGCGCCATCCTGGAGGAGCTGGTCTACCTGTGTAAACTGATTTGGTTGCAGGTACTGCCTCATTCTACAAGGAGTGACAAGGATCATAACAAAACACAAAACTAGAGACAAATAAGTCAAAAAGGATAAAGAGAGAGCAACTGTCTGTGGCAACCACCTGCAAAACCACTCCCTTTTTGGGGGTTGTCTTGCTGTTGCTTCTCCAATGCTGTTGTCACTTTCATTTGCACCAAAGCAGGTTAAACAGATTCACAATCACTTATGCTTCATAATTTGACAGACTGATATCACTGAAGTTTAACTGACTTAGTGTTATACTGTGATGACAGTGTTCCTTTAATTTTTTTGAGCAATGTATATGAAGCAATGTTTTATTTAGTTTTGTTAATTTTATTATTATTTATGTAAAACAACCATTTACAAAGTACCGACTTACTGCTTTCAAAGAATCCCTTGTGTATTTGTGTTTGTGCTCTGACAAATTTGTCAGAGGTTTCCATTTACAACAAGCTTCTGATGAGTTAAAAGGATGCCTTTTTGCCTTCAGATAAAACAACACTACACTCTTAAAAATAAAGGTGCTTCAAAAGGTTCTTCACAGCGATGCCATAGAAGAACCTTTTTGTCTAAATGGTTCCATAAAGAACCTTTAACATCTGAAGAACCTTTCTGTTTGACAAAAGGTTCTTTGTGGTGAAAAAAGGTTCTTCAGATTACAAAAAGGTAAGAAAGAGATGGTTCTTTAAAGAACCTTTGTTTTTGAATGGTTCTTTGTGGAACCAAAAATGGTTCTTCTATGGCATCGCTGTGAAGAACCTTTTGAAGCACCTTTATTTTTAAGAGTGTACTTGTGGAGAAGTGGGGTAACATTAACATACAGTAACCCCCACTCAGGAACTTTTAGTAGTTGTTAGTTACTCTTATCTATCCTTTTGTTAATAAAACTACTTTTATTATAATTGTGTCTTCTTTGTGTTGATAAAACAGTAAGAGGCTCTACAAGTTAACAATATCTCTAAAATCCTTCAGATTGGTCAAACTACAACTTCCTACAATTTATGTACTGTAATTCTTATTTATTCAACAATCTTTCATGACTGTTCTTTACTGTCAAGGTGAAATTCCTGGCTGGTGCCCCGTAAAATAGTGTGACCAAAACTAAATATTAATATTAATATTTAAGCCCAAAGCCATAACATTTGTGGTGCTACTTAGATCTAAAATCTCGACATTTAGTGGTGCCCCGTGTGAGGCTATCTTACACTGAAATCACTACAACATTGTAGCCAATCTTAGAGATATAGCAGCTTTTTTTTATTTTAATGGGACTTTCGCAAGAGTGCAGAACCCACTGATTCAATTGAATTTTTGATTCAACAGAATATTTTAAATAAAACAAAATAAAATGGCACAGATAAAATAAAGCTGCTTGGAAATTGTCTTTTAACCTTTACCATTCTTCACATGCTTTCTGATTTCCTCAAACAACTCTCTCCTTTGCTTTCTCTGGTCCATATGTACAGTGTGGTGCACACAATGATAGCAATCAGGATAGTGACTACATTTCTCCTTTTAAATATGCCGAATGACAGATTAAAACATTGAAGTCATGTGTGATACTAATTAAGTAAAGCAGTTTGTTAAAACATTCCTATAATCCAATCTTTTCTAGGGGAACCAAAAAAAAAAAAAAATCTGTTCTGACCATTTTTGAATATATCTGTAGAATAAGCAATAATTTATCTATTTTCATGCTTTCTTTGCATTGCTCTATGACATACCAAAGGAATGCAGATATATGTGAGACAATTGCTTTTCATTTCATTAGTTTCCAGGAGGAATGAAGCATTTTTAATGAACTGTAAGCGTACCAACAAATGGGTCCATATCAATTCTGAAGCCTAACTGAGCAATGCACTACATCTTTCAAAAAAATCGCTGTGTTATAGAATGTATTTTTCGAAGAGGTCATTACTAAGATATTAAACGTGGATTGTGTTATATTAATTACATTATATTAATTGCAATTGTTTTTTGCCTTTAAAAAGAAGAGAGGTTTGCTACAACTGACAAAACTGATACAACTGATCAAAATACAACACAATAAGCACAGCTGCAAGCAGAATTTGAACATAAAGTCGTTCATTAAATACACAATTTATCATTACAATTTATATTACTCGCATAACAATGTCATTGCATTGTTGAACTATGGGTAATATGGGTTTGAAAATGTCTGTATTTGATATGTGCCCCTTTTGCTTTAATGACTGCAGAATTCAAGCAGACATGAACAAAACCTGATGATCCATGTTTTTTTAGCATGGTTTAAGAAAAATATACCGTTTTGCACTGTAAGAAGTTTACATGGTTAATGCCAAACAATTGGTTAGGAATGTGCAGATTCGTACATATATTCATTTTATGTCCTGGCTTTAATTTTTTTAATGTAAAACTTTATTACTGGGATTAAAATAAAATAAAATAAATTTGGAGCCTACAGTAGATTAAAATGCTTTACTTCTACGTAAATATATTATATAAAAAAGCTGACTTACTGAAAGTTGACTTTGTCTACTTGAAATCGAGTTTCAAAAATCCCTGAAGTCAAAACACGGCACCTCAGCAAATCCTGGAAGAAATTGACAAACTCTCAATTTAATGATGCTGATCATTAATAATAATAAATCTAGTGTGACAGCGCCCTCACCTGGTCTGTTGGTGTATAGTCACCCTGTCGTACAGACTCAATTCTGTCCAGGAAGCTGAAAAAAAGTTCAGAGACAAATTAAAATACACTATGATTACAATAATACTATAATATAATAAGATTAACTAAATCAATTGTATGATAAATGTTTATTACATCTGACATTCAAAGCAAATTTAGTGTGATTTGTGTTTCTCATGAAATTAATTTTATGTAATTTTTTATTGGTTTTACATTATGCATTGCTCTGATTGACTTGAACAGACTTGTGTGTGTGTGGGAAGCGGGTTAAATATGTATTTGATTAAGTGTAAATGTGTGTGGATGAGTAGGTGGGTGAGACATAGACATACACCAGACAATTAAAGTGACAATCTAAAACCTTCTGCACCGTTTACCAACTATGGTTTGTGTCAGTGTTGGCCTCCAGGTGGAGCTCTAGCACAGATCACTTTGGCCCTGTTTCCTTGCCTCCAAACTTGGACTGGACAACAACATTTTACATATATTTTGCAACTGTAAAGGTTATGCGGTGAGTACTGCAAGCTTATTAGATACTGCATACCTCCACATATGACACATTTTTTTGTTTTTGTTTTTGAAATGTTTGTCATGCTGTTTGGGGTCAATGAAGCCTTTTGGTCTGATGTTTTATACAGTCATTTTGGGCTGAACGATACATTTGTAAAGCATATTGTCAGTGTCATCACGAGTGTAGAGTAAGGAGAGATGACTGTTCACTATATAGTTGACCTATAGTTGACCTGGTTGACTATAGCAGCACAGTGAAGTTAGGATGACCTTTAATAAAAGGGTGGCCCCTTTATGCTGAAGGGGAAGTATCAATCAATATTTCCACCTTCTGAATGGCCGCTACAAATGGAGAGGCCTACATGCAAAATGATGCGCAAAATACACACAGATAAAAACAATGTTATATACCACAGGATATATTAGGAACATTTAAAATTGTGGTTTCTAGGCCTGGAAAAGTCAGCTGGACAAAAGATTTAATGGACATACATTCACTAGCCACTTTATTAGTTACACCTTGCTAGTGTCGGGCTGGACCCCCCCCCTTTGACTTCAGAACTGAATTAATTTCTCTTGACATATATTCCTTGGAAACAATCCTCAGAGATTTTGGTCCATATTAAAAGGGATAGTTCACCCAAAAATTTTAATTACCCCATGATTTACTCACCCTCAAGGCATCCTAGGTGTATATGACTTTCTTCTTTCAGACGAATCCAATCGGAGTTACATAAAAAAATGTCCTGGCTCCTTCAAGCTTTATAATGACAGTGAATGGGTGTTATTAGTTCAATAATCCAAGAGAAGTTCAATAAAGTGCAACCATCTATGATAAAAAGTGCCCACACGGCTCCGGGGGGTTAATAAAGGCCTCCTGAAGAGAATCGATGCGTTTTTGTAAGAAAAATATCCATATTTAAAACTTTACGAGCCGTAATTCCTAGCTTCCGCTAACTGACGTACGCGTGTACACGAGAGAGTCACGTTCCAGCGGATGACGTAAGACATAGGACATAGGCGTAGCGTAAGCTCTGGTGAGAATATGCTATTCTTGCGAGAACCAAAGTTTATTTACAGGAGCAAAGGAAGCAAAGTTTCCTTTGTTTAGCAAAGGAAAACCAGTCACCTCTTGGCTTATATCGAACTCTTCCAACATTTTTCTTTACAAATCCTCCTTTTGTACTTCTAATTCGTGACCAGTGTTTGCTCTCTCTGCGCTTCCGCGTTCGTCACTTCTCACCAGAGCTTACTCTATGCCTACGTCATCCACTGGAACTGCGTTCTATTGTGAATGTGCGTATGACAGTTAGTGGAAGCTAAAGATTACAGCTTATAAAGTTTTAAATATGGATATTTTTATTACAAAAACACATCGATACACTTCAGGAGGCCTTTATTAACCCCTCAGAGCAGTGCGGCCACTTTTTATGATGGATGGAGGCACTTTATTGGACTTCTTTTGGACTATTGAACAATAACACCCATTCACTGCCATTATAAAGCTTGGAAGAGCCAGGACATTTTTTTATATAATTCCGATTGGATTCGTCTGAAAGAAGAAAGTCATATACACCTAGGATGGCTTGAGGGAGTAAATCATGAAGTAATTTTCATTTTTGGGTGAACTATCCCATTAACATGATAGTATCATACAGTTGCTCCCAAAGGTGCTCTATTGAATTGAGATCTGGTGACTAGAAATGCGCAGATCAGCTCAAACGTCACCCGAATCCACTGCTTCTAATAATTTATCCACCATCAACCCACCCGCAGCTATATTTTTCTCTGATTTAGATATCCGCCCCTACCCGCACCCGATTGTCACATTACAATTATTCTAATTCTTAGTTTTGCATGATGATATGATGAATGGATGGTTCATTTTTAACAGAAGATTCAGTGACTTTAGAGCTGGTCTGCACATCACTGCACACGTCTGCGCTGCATTACGGCTCCGACACAGCCACCGGAGCTGATTGCGGCCACTCTAGTCAATGCTTGTATTTATACCAGCCAAGGCATCCCAGAAGTGGCTCTCCATGCTGCTTCACTAAAGATAGGTGCAGTAGGGCTGCATTGAGATTGGGATCCCGCGGGTCTCATGGGACCCAACGCAAATCTCGTGGGAGTGGGCGGTTTTACTTTTACTGCGGGTGGGAATGGGTGGTCAAAAAAATGTAGCGCGGGTCCCGCCATCCCGCAGTCTTGGCACATACCAAGAATGATGGAGTTACATAGGCTAAACAGGTGTTTACACAGTGTTTGGTCGTACACTGATTACATTACTTTCCCAACGCGGAAAAACGTACGCTACGATAAACTGAAAGTGTCTGCTCTGCTCAATACAGCCAGGGTTGCCAGGTCTGCATCTCAAAACTAGCCCATGACAGTCAAAAACATCCCAAAATAACGCAATGGCCAAATCCCAAATATCAAAATATGTCATTTCCATACCTAAAATACATATTTTACGGTCACTGTTATATACATTGATCATAAACAGAGTTCAAAGGCTTCCTACCAGTGGCCCTTTCACAAAACTTAACATTTAGCTAAGATTTATCATACGTAGAATGCAAAATGTTTCAATATAAGCATTTTTAGTCAACTGTAATTTATGCAATATTTCAAACCTTTAACCCAAAGTTTTTTTTTTCAAGTGGGGAAATCAACCCACGTAAACAGTTTAAAAGTAGCCCAATTCTTTGAAGAAAAAAAACAAACAAAAAAAAACATGTACTTGACAACCCTGCATCCAACACGAGCTGCAGGAGTCAGATTTGACTGATCACGGGTGGAGAGTAAGGAGAGATGACTGACAAGACCATGCTGGAGGATTTGCTGCTCAACAGATCCTGATCTCATTGACAAATATCTGATCTTGTAAGATGTGCCCCCTTTACACAGAGTGCACGTGATCGTTGAAATTGAAAGTGAACAGCGAGCGCTTATCGAAAAACTATTTCAATTATATCAAAACATTAAACAGGTTCTCCCCACTCAGTGATGCACCTACTGAGAAACCTGTTGAAAGAGCCCTAGTTATTGGTGATTCTATTGTACGGAACGTGAAAATAGAGACACCAGCCACCATAGTCCAATGTTTACCGGGAGCCAGAGCGCCTGACATCTTGGCAAATTTAAAAGTGCTGGCTAATGCTAAAAGTAAATTCAGTAAGATTGTTATCAACGCCGGCGCTAATGATGTCCGACTTCGCCAGTCGGAGATCACTAAAAATAACATTACAGAGGTGTGTGAACTTGCAAGTACGATGTCAGACACTGTAATATGCTCTGGTCCCCTTCCTGCTTACCGTGGTGATGAGATACACAGCAGACTGTCGTCACTCAATGGCTGGATGTCTAAGTGGTGCCCGCAGAATAACATAGGTTTCATAGACAATTGGACGAGTTTTTGGGGCAGACCTGACCTGTTCTTCATCCCTCCAGGGGTGGTGACGCTCTTCTCTCTAGAAATATGGCATAGTTTTAGAGTTTGTACTTGACTAACTGGGGCCCAGGTCAGGAAGCAGATAGACTGGCTAAACCGACCATCTGCTAGCCGACTCATGTCACAGAAGTCAGTTAATTCTTTATTTTATAGCCGGAACCGCTCCATCTTTCAGTATCAAACGATGAGCAAATCCAGCGTCGAACTGGGCCTTGTTTATAAAACGTTCGTCAACAAACACACTTGTGAAACTCCGTTGCTGCCTCGGAAAAACAAACTGTATCCACTGTTTACATAACGCTGGGTTCTTTAGGAAGCTGAACAAAGTTATCTTTCCCTTACAACCAAAAACACACTTCTTTGGAGACATTCTTCCCGAGCAAGTCCCGTGCAGCGCTGCCGCTGGATGAAGCGCGTTGATGGGCGCGATCTAGCTCTCGTTCTGGTCGATGCGTGCGCGGGCGCATTCTTCCGGGAGAAATGCCCATATAAGGAGTTCCACCCTCGTCTACGTCATGAAGAGCCACGATCGAAAAAAATTCTCCGACTGCAGAACACAAGATCCAGGGGGCAAGGTTGGATCCAGATCCAACTCCTCCCACCTTACATATACCTAAACCTACCCGTCTCCA